AATTTGGTGGCTCTCATTTGATTCTGGAGCAGACGACGGCCCTGTGGACTGCCCTTATAGCTGACCACGCCTACGGCAGGCGCCCACTTCTCGAACTCCAGCACCCAATTGGGCAGAGTTGAGAGCGGTACAATGATTAGGTATGGACCCATAACCTTTTTGCGGTCCATTAAATAGGTGACCAGAGAAATTGTTTGGATGGTTTTGCCCAGACCCATCTCATCGGCCAAAATGCCATTCAAATTGTTATTGTAGAGCGAAACGAGCCATTCCAGACCCTTCAATTGATACTCCTTAAGCTGACCATTGACCATAATACTGGCCTGCTCGGTGACCTTTTCGTGCACGGTATGGGCAATGCTGTAATAGGTTTGCTCCTCAGTGCGATATTCATCGTCCTCCACTTTCACCTGATTGATCAAATCATTGGCGCCCGCCTCACCTGGCTGCGCAGATTTATCTGTAGCATCCTCAGATCCCTCGGCAGCGGCATTACGCTCCTGCGGCTGCTCCTCGAGCTTTGGTTTCGGCTTCTTCTCGGGCGACTCGTCATTGTCATCATCATCGTCATCAATCCAATCCCAGCCCGGGTGCATGTTGAGCCAGCGATGTAAATGCTTGAGCATTGGTGCATCATCCCCTGTTAGCTTCTTGCCGCTGCATTGCTCTACGACATGGACGCGCATATCGGCYGCRATACTGCTCTCATCAATATTGACATATTCGCCGCTCATCAACAGCTCCTTTTTGTATTGCTGCAGACGCTTGCCCTCCTCCTCCTTCTTCTTCATCTGGTCGTCCTTATGCTGCTTCACCATCTGGGTGAGGTTGCTAATGTATTCGTCTGTCTGCGACAGCAGGAATGCTAAACGTTTGTCCTTCTTTTGATCAATCAGCTTGCGGTAGCCCTCCTCATCCTCGGCCATCAGACGACGCATACGCTCCTTCTCAATGCGCTCCTGTTCCTTCTTCTGTTCACGCTCCGCATTCGCATGGTAATTCATCACCGACTTGTTCATGCGCGCCAACTGAGCCTGCAAATGGACAATTAAGATTTCATCATCAGAGCACAGCTTCGCCCATGTCTTCTATGCACTCACCTTATTGTTGCGATGATATTCACGCAGATCCTTGCCRTGCTGCAGCACAGCAGACAAGAACTCAAGATGCTTCTGCCTACGTTTGCGTTCTGCCTCGAGCTTTTGTTGCTTCTCTAGCTTCTCGGTGGCGCGTGCCTCTCGCAGGCCTTGGCGCTTGGTGCGCTTGTAGAACTTCATGTT